CCTACGCGGGGGGACGACAAACCAGGGGGTGTCATGGTGGAGGCATCGGAGACGTGGACGGTATATGGGTGACTTGCTGAGGTGGTGATGGGCCTGATCTGGGCATCTGGGCTGTGATGGTGGAGAATGCTACTGAGGAGGTGGGGAGGGTGGCGAGGGTGGCGAGGGAGCGGACTTGGGCATGATGCGAACCTGGTACCGGTCGCCTGAGGCTGATGTGACCACCGAAGTGTGGATGGGGGCGACGGCCGGGCTGTTGTCGTAGCCGTGGTGGCTGTCGTGGTCGTGGTCGTGGTCGTGGCAGTTGTGGTGGTGGTGATCGTGGTGATGATGGTCGTGGTGATGATGGTCGTGGTGATGATGGTCGTGGGGCCGATGGTCGTGGGGCCGATGGTCGTGGGGCCGATGGTCGTGGGGCCGATGGTCGTGGGGCCGATGGTCGTGCGCGTGGTGGTCGTGCGCATGGTGGTCGTGCGCATGGTGGTCGTGTGCATGGTGGTCGTGCGCATGGTGGTCGTGCGCGTGGTGGTCGTGGTGACGGCTACACCCCCCAGACTGACTACCAAACACATCATCCAGCCACGATCGTGGTGCGTACTTGTGCTCGGGTGCAGCGCCGACGCACTCGCCATCATGGCACACCTCGTCGTCGTCGCAGAGGACCGAGCGCTCGCGGAGCCGACAGTCCACGTCGGGCGCGCCGCAGCCACAATCGCAAGCCATGCCATCACCGTAGTCCTCGTGCGGACAGTGCCATGCCGGCGGAACAATGCATTGGGCGACGCAGCGGCCCTCGCCGACGTCAGCGCTGCCGCCTCCGCCGCCGCTCCGGCCATCGCCGACGTCAGCAGCCGGCGGCAGGCAGCCAGCGCACGGCAGGCCGCAGTCGACAGCCCACAGCATAAACGAGCCGGCATCGCCATCGGATACACCCGCGCCATCATCACCGCTAGCGCCATCGCCAACGCCACCACCATTGCCCGGCAGCGGGCAATCGATGTCCCATCCCCCACACCGGCAGTGGCACACTCCGTCGCCGTAGGCGTCGGCCCGGCAGTGCCAGCCCACGGGCAGCGACTGCTCCTGGGCCTCTTCCGCAGCTGCAGCTGCAGCCAGTGCCAGTACAGCCACAGCCGCAGCTGCAGCTGCCACTTGCACGGCCATCTGCCTTGCCATCGCCTTGCTTCGCATGCTGCTGTCGAGTCAGGTGTCGGCTCCCCGGCCAATAGTCCCGGTCCCGGCGGCTGCCCGCCCTTCACGAACACTCCAAGCGACCACACACGCGCCCGTTGATGGCGACAAAGGGAATTTACAATTGCAGGCACAGGGCTATCGGAAAGCGCGGGAGGTATCGCTGACCCTACGCGGCGAGGCGGAGGCAGCGGACGGGCCACGGCCCTGGGCGGCCTTGCGCGAGGAGAGCCGGCGCCTGCCGCGCGACGAGGCCGCCGTCGCCGATCCACTGGGAGAGGCAGCTGCGCCGCGGGGGCCGCCGGCGCGCGATGGAGTGCGAAGGGCGGTGCGCGAAGGCGTGCGGATAGCCGAGCGTGACGGGGTGCGGGCAGCCGAGCGCGAGGCCGAGCGCGAGGCAACAGTGCGGGGCGGGGCGCGCGAGGGCGGGCGAGCGGCGGCTAGGCGGGCCGAGGGCTGGCCTGCGCGCGAGCGTTCCTTGGCGCGCGAGAGGTTGTAGCAGCCCGAGTCGATGGCGATGGGCTGGACAACAAAAAGGCCGTCGAGCGGGCCAGCGCGGCGGCGCTCCTTGGCGGCCTCCTCCTCGGCCTTGCGGCGCTCTTCCTCCTCCTCGCGGCGCTTGGCCTCTGCAATCGACGCCTGCCGCTTTGTGTTGTACCGCTCCAGCGCTCGCTCAAACGGGGTCGATGTCTCCGGATACAGCGCTGCGTGCAGCTCGTCCACCTCGTACTCGCCCGTCGGCAGGTTGAGCGCCCGCCGGTGCTCGCCTGCCGAGGCCTGCCACTGCTCGAAAGACGGGAGCGAGAGCGCCTCGTGCCCGGACGCCTCCGACTCGGCCTCTGACCGGGTGTCTGTCATGGGGGCGGGTGGGGTTCCGTGAGGGGGGAGGGGGGAGGGGGGGAGGGAGGGGGAGGGGTGCGGTGGAGCAGTCGGTGTCGTCGTCGTGATCGCCGTGCCTCCCTCGGTCCGTGGCGGGTGGCGGGCGGTTGTTGGCGCGACGGGTGGCTGGCCGTTTGGGCGCGACGGGGGGTTGCCCGCCCGGGGCGCCATCAGGCAACCGATGGGACAATCATGCTGGCGACTTCATGTAGGGCGATTGGCTACACCTGGCTGCACTGAGCCTGAATCGAGGCAGCAATGGCCAATGCCTCGAGCCGGATCTGGAAGAGGCGGCCGAGAAAGTCGTCAAAGCCGCAAAAGTACAGCCGCTCGTGGCCGGGGACGGGCTTGCCAGACACGGCGATGCCGCCGTGCTCGTCGTACACATCGTCAAGTACGTGCTGCGGGAGGAGTGTGTCAAGTGCGCGGTTGTAACCAGTGGCAAGGATAATGACGTCGAGCTGAAGCTCGGTCCCGCCATCGACGATGGCGCCTGTGGGCGTGATTGCGTCGATCGCGCGGTGGACCGCGATGTCGCCCGAGGCGACGAGTGCAAACTGGCCGATGTCCACTACCGGCGCCTTGTGTCGCCGGCGCAGGTTCTCAAACAGCCCGACGTCCGGATGCGGAGCGGTGACGCCGCGCGAGGCGAGCGAGGTGAAGAGGAACGGCCTGGCCGGCGGCGCAAGAGCGTCAAGAGCCTGCGGCGCGTTGAAGAACAGCGCACGGACAAGGCCCAACAGCGGCTCGAGATACATGGTTCGGTTGCGCGAGAGGACGTTGAGCGGCGATCGGATGACGGTAGCAACCAGAGCCGCACCGCGCTCGTACAGATCAAGGCAAATTTCGGAGCCCGAGTTACCAAAGCCGACAACGAGCGCCCGCGCGCCACGGAAGGCCTCGCCCGACACGTACTCGGACGAGTGGATGAGGGTGCCACCAAACGAGCTGGCGCCCGGAAAGTGCGGGATCCGCGGCGAGGCGTTGTCACCGGTCGCCACAACCACATGCCGAGCGATGAGCTCGTCAACCGGGCCGTCGCCTCCGTCGCCGCGGACGCGGACAGCGTAGCCCGGGCGGCCATCGGGGCGATCGGCAATGGCCACCACGGCTGTCCCCGTTCGCACGTTGAGGTTGAGCAGGAGCGGATAGGCAGCCAGATAGCGGGCAAAGTCCTCGCGCGGCACAAACTGTGGCCAGTGGTCCGGAAAGGGGACATACGGCAGGTGCGAGACGCCCTTGAGCGAGTGCAGGCAGAGCCGATGGTAGTGTCGCTGCCAGCTGGTCCCGGCCGCCTCCTCCTTCTCCACCACCACATACGAGAGCCCGGCCTGGGCCAGGGCGGCACCGACCGCGAGCCCGGCCGGCCCGCCGCCCACCACCACCGCGTCGTACACCCCGTCGCTGTCCGGCGGCACCGCCTGAGAGCTCCAACCGGCGTGGCGGACAGGCGCACCAGGGAGCGCACGTACCGCCGCCGCAGGCTGGCCCACGGGCGGCATCGATGACAGCCACACCACTGCACGCACCGCAACAAGCACTAGCACCCCGCATGCCAGTGCCCACAGTGGGATCTCCATGGCGAACGACAGGTGGTGCTGGACGGGAGGGCGGGCGCTGGCGGCAGCTGGCGGCAACTCGGCGGCAAGGACGTGTCCACGATGCGGGCGAGCTGGATTGTTAATCATCGCATCATCATCCTCTCCTTCTTCTTCTCCTCCTTCGCCTTCGCCTCCGCCTCGGCCTCCGCCTTCCTGTCTTTCTCATTCATCCGGTGGAAGAGCAGCTAGGCGTGCGGCTTGATGACCATCTCGTCGCGACCGGGGCCAGTACCGATCCAGGTCATGGGCACCTCGAGCAGATCCTCCATGCGCTGGATGTAAGCCTGGGCGTTGGGAGGGAGCTCAGCCCACTCGGTGATGCCCTGGGTCGATGACTGCCAGCCGGGCACCTCCTCGTACACGACCTCGACGCGTGCGAGCTCGGCGATGGTCGACGGCATGTGGCCCGGGGCCAGGGTCTCGCCGGTGGTCGAGTCGCGGTAGGCAACACCGATCTTGATGGTCTCCAGGTCGTCGAGAACGTCGAGCTTGGTCACGTTGACCGCCGAGTAGCCGTTGACCATGTTCGAGTACTGCAGCAGCGGGATGTCGAGCCAGCCGCACCGGCGCTTCCGGCCGGTAGTCACTCCAATCTCACCGCCGACAGACTGAAGATGGGCGCCGATATCGGCGCCAGGTGCGCCTTCAGCGCGCTCGCCGCCGGCGTTGACGTCGGTGAGCTCGGTCGGGAACGGGCCCCACCCGACGCGAGTCGTGTACGCCTTGACGACGCCGACGGTGCACTCGATCTTACCCGGGGCGAGACCGAGGCCAGTGCACACGCCGCCCACCGTGGTCGGCGACGAGGTGACAAACGGGTATGTGCCGTAGTCGAGGTCGAGAAGCGCAGCGTTGGCGCCCTCCAGGATGATGCGCTTGCCATCGTTGTACGCCTGGTTGACGTACGCCACCGAGTCGACAATCATGTCGCCGTTGGTGAGGATGTCCGCAAACGCGCGGTAGCGCTCAAGCTCGTCGTCGATGCCGTAGTCAAACCCGTACATCTTCTGGTGCGAGTCGACCGCCGACCGGAACTTGGCGGCAAAGTCGTCAAAGTCGACCAGGTCGCCGACCCGGATGCCGAGACGCAGCGCCTTGGATGCGTACGCTGGACCGATGCCCTTCTTGGTCGTGCCGAGCGACTTGCCGGCTCCCCGCCGCTCCTCCAGCACCCCATCGATGATCTGGTGGTAGTCGAAGAGCAGGTGCGCCCGGTTCGAGAGCTTGAGGCGGCCCTCCCAGCTAACCGACGTCCCATCAAGCTGCGCCAGCTCGTCAAACATTGACGGCAGGTGAATGACTGTTCCGTTGCCCAGGATGTTGAGCGTGTGCGGGTAGACCAGTCCGCACGGCAGCAGATGGAACGCGTACTTGACCCCATCGGCAATGACCGTGTGTCCGGCGTTGGCCCCACCATTGAACCGGCCCACCACATCGTAGTCCTCCGCCAGCACATCCGCCAGCTTGCCTACTCAATAGTACCCGCGCCACCAACACCACCAACACCACCAACACCAGCACACCCACATACCAACACATGGATGAGTCTCCAGCCATCAGCCTCCAGTCACCGTCCACCCCTCCGCTACCCCTCCTCTGTCCGCTGCCCGCCGGCACACTCGCCATCACCCGCCGCAGCAACAGCAGCACGGGCACAGGTCCCAGCACGGGCACGGACACAAGCACCAGCACGGGCACGGACACAAGCACCAGCACGGGCACCAGCATGCCCCCCCCTCCCCCCTCCCCCCCCCCCCCTCCCCCCTCCCCCCCCCCCCATGCTGAACGATCAGCATCAGCGTACCCTTGCCCTCGTCGCCCCACTGGGCACCCAGCACAGCCGTGACCCGCGACGAGGCAAACGGCGTAGCAGCCGTCGAGGCCAGTCGGCAGAGCCGCAGCGGAGAGACAGCAGACGCAACAGCCGAGAGCATAGCCTGTAGAGTCGAGGAAGAAATAGAAAGGTGCTGCCTTACCTGGCCACTCTCCGACACCTCCTTCCTTCCGCACGTTTGTTTTATGGCGAAAAAGCAAAGCCGCTGCCTCGCAGAGCACTGCTTCCGATCGCTCCCTGCTTCCTCCACGCTTTATTCTTGCCCATCGCATCATACTAGCGCCTCACTGGTACCCTTGCCTTACCTACCGAGCACAAATCGCTGTCACATCGCCATCGCTGTCCTTTCTAGCCTGCTTTCCTTCGCCCTCTATCAGCCGTCGTCCATCCGCCACTCGAGCGAACACACCATCCATGCCCGCGGCTTCCACTCCAGATCGCAGTCATGGCAGACGAGCTTGGCTCCATCGGTTGCACATCCCTAGCCGGGCCGAACTGTCGGTCATGCAAACGCACAGCGCATCCACTGCGGCAAGACGCCGGAGCGAGGGGGAGGCCCGGCATGCTTGCCCAGCTCAGCCGAGCTCAACGCAGGATCAGACCTCAACTCGCCCCTGACTCGCCGCTCCCGCTCCTCGCTACACGCGTCGAACAACACCAGACACTCACCACTTCCCATCCATGGTGCACGTAGCAAGATCTGTCTCTACCGTCGCTGTCAGTTCTTATGAAACCCCCTAGTGCGGCCGATTGCTTCGCAGGTGTGTCTAGGATTGGGCCTGCCGCTTGATCACTGAAAGTGGCCAGGCTGAAAGACACGTCCCATGGGACACCGTAATCGCCACAGCGCGAGTCCCGCGATGAAAGTAGGCAGTGTTAAGCAATGGATTCAATGCGTTGCACGACTACGGCTACAGCTCATCGTAAGACGAACCGTACTCGTACTCATAGATTTTCGACTCGTCGTACTCGTAGTAGTAGTCACCGTAGGCCGAGTCCGGAGCAGCTTCGCCAATGTTGCCGAAGCGGCGCTGGCCGCGGCAGAGGAAGACGAGGCCAACGTCGATGAGGATGACGATAACTGCAAGCATGAGCGTGACGGTGTAGAGGCCCGGGACGGCGGTACGGCAGAGGTCAGAGCGAAAGTCGCCAACAATCTGGTCGACAAACCGGCACTCGAGAATGGGATCGAGGTTGACGGTCTTGATGTCGTTATAGGTGGCGATTTCGGCGATTCCGTTCATGAGGCCCTCGGCGAGCGCCTTCTCCGAGTTGACAGTGCACTCTGTGGCGCACACCTCAAAGGTAATGGGGTCGGCGCCGGCGATGACGTCGTCGTCGTCACGATGATCTCCGGCGGGAAGGTGTGGAGGTTGTCCGCCGTGCACGAAGCGGCGCACATGGTGTTCGGCTGGCCACACAGCGAGTCTGCAGCATTGCATGCTGCATCTCGGGCTTCGGTCAGCGCGTCCTGGATGACGTTGTTGAGGGCGCCAAAGCCGGTGCCGTCGGCGGTTGCCTCGGGATCCGAGCCATTGACGCAGTTGAGCGCCTTTTCGAACAGCTCGCGGGACTTGGTCGTCGACGAGCCGTCGACAAAGAGGTCGACCTCGGCGCAAAAATCGTTAGTCACCAGCCAGAGCATCGAGTGGAGCGAGACTGCAATGATGACGACAAACAGCAGGAGCAGGTTCCACATGGCGATGACAATGAGAAGCTGGCAGCAGGTAAAGTTGAAGAAGCCCAGCAAGACGCCCAGGCCGAAAAATGCCGCCGGCGCGGCAAAGAGCACGTAGACAGCGAGCGAGTGGTACTGGCGGAAGGTGTCAAACGAGTTGTCGATGTTGCGGATAGTGTCGAGCGCGTCGTTACCGGCCTCGGTCGCAGGCTCCATGCGGCTTCCTTCATCCGACGTCCGCGCCTGGGCAAGTAGCCGTTGAATGGCGACTTCCACATCATCCACCAGCTGCTGGCCGTGCTTGATGAGGTTGTCTGAGGTGTTGCCAAAGCCCTTCTGGGTTACGGCATTGCCCGAGGTGCCGGCGATAAAGACGGCGACGACCATGGCAACGATGACTATGAGGAGGAGCTTGAGCGACCGGACCGAGATGGCCGAGAACACCGTCTTGCCGCTCTTATCGGTCTTCTCCTCAAAGCATGATCGGCAGCAGCAGCAGCACTTGCGCAGCAGCGGCTTGCAGCAGCACCGCCACGAGAGGTAGATGGGAATGGCCAGCAGATGGGCCAGCGCCACCAGGAGAATGGCCGCTCCGCGCTCAGCAATCCAGATCCCATACGTCTCGGCATCAAACTCGTCCTCCTCCTCGTCGTATCCGAGAAACCGCCCGCTCATGCTCTTTCCCGTCACCAGCGTCTTCCGTCCGGCCGCGCCCCGGGCCACCACCACAACGATCACCGCCGCAAGAAGGGCCCGCCATGTCGATCCGTTCCGCATACTTACGCAATGTGCCTGTTCCTCGCTTTGCCGTTTCCGCACAACCCCTCCGAGGACAAGATCCACGGCCGAGGTAAAGACAAGTGACCGCCTTTCCCCCCCCCCCCAACCACGCGCTTTCCCCTTCCCCCCCCACCCACACACCCACGCCCCCTCTCGCCCAAGGAACAGGATCAAGCCGCTACCGTTTGCTATTGATAGGCTCAAAAGTTCTCAATTGATTCACCTCCCCACCACGCCCGCCCGCATTGC